AATACACTTCCTGCTGAGTTGTGTTCAGAGGAGTTGGAAAGCCACTGCTGTCAGTTATAGTGACCCCAGCCAGAGGGGTCAGCCCGAGGGAATGTCCCCCTTCACATCCTTCTGTAAGGGAACAAGGGCAGAGTGATCATTCAGCGTCTGAGAAGCAGAGAAGGATGCTAGCTAGGACAAACAGGTGTTTATTCAAATGGAGAAGCCAGTGAGCTGAGGGCCTCCTTGGGCCTGGGTCTGTAATTGCAGAAGCAAAGGAGGCAGAAGGGAGGGGGACAGGGAGAGGCCCGGGAGAGCAGGGGTCGAGGAGCACAGCCAGAGGGGCCAGCGCCCTCTCACACCTGTGCCAGCGAGACCCTCTCCTCTTCTCTGCGTGCAGAGGACTCAGCTGAGAAAGGTATGGCCAGGGGTCACGGCAGATCCTGGTTCTGCTCAGATCTAATCTACTCCAGGCTCAGGGTTTGACTCCGACCCGAGTGTCCTAGTCCCCTGGTCAGGTTAGTTACACTACTGTCTTTCTCTACCCCTAATCCAACATATGAGAGACTCAAACCAGCCAGAAAGGCACCCAGGGGCCTGGCCCTCTGAGGTTTGGGCTCCTCACAGGGAAGGTAGCAAAGCCTCCTTGTGTCTTTGCTGGACTCAGGGCCGGGGGGGTGGGGGTCGGGGGGTGGGTAGCCACTGATGCCAGAAAAAACCAGCTCAAGGAGGCCAGAGATGGGGGGTGGGACGAAGGTCCAATGAAGTGGATAGTTTTAGAAATAAGTAGGAATATTGGTCAGGTTAAGTTTGGGTCCTGGCAACGCCACCATCCTGTCTGCCTTGGGGGGCAGTTCCCCACAGGGCTCTCCACACATGCCCAGTGGGTGAGGAAGCAGGTGGAGGGTACGTATCTGGAGTAAATAGTAGAGGTTTACCCAAGGTTTGCGCAGGGCATCAAATAATAACTGGCTTCAGACGTTTGCAGCCCCAGAAGAGGCAGCCGGTGAAGGAACCCCCGGCCCTCGTAGGCCAGGCATTCCTCTACTGTTGTGGTGACCGTTTCTGTCCCGCTCAGCTGTGCGCAGATCAGAGAAGTGGACACAGCAGGGCCAGGGGCCCGGGCCGGGGAGGGGGGCGGGCTAGTTGTGAGGCGAGCCACGCGGAGTCAAGGCCTTGATGGTGTGCGGGGTGGACGGGGCACGCAGGGGCCAGCAGCAGGCTGCAGCCTTGGACTCGGGCCACCCCGTGCTGTGCCAGGGGCCTAACCAGGACCCCGCTCTGCTGATGTCCTTTTCTGCAGTCCTGATTTAGCTCCGCTCCTCTTGGGACAGGGGCGATGAGAGAGGATGGGGAAACCAGAACCCTGAGATCTTGGGGCCCTCTCCAGGGAACACTCCTCCTGGGGGATGGGGCAGGTGCTGAGAAGCAGAGGAGTGTGGCCGACTGGGGAATGGGACAGTGGGGTCAGGGTGGTGACAAGAGGGACAGACCCAGCTGTCCCAGCTACCTGGCTCTAGTCATGCCCCATCCCCCCATGGCTCTTCCCTTCAGGCAAGGAGCTTTCCCCTGGGGACCATCGGGGCAGCGGTCACTGGCCCGGCTCTTGGTGCAAAGGCAGGAAGGGCAGCTCAGGGAAGGGGGCTTTCAGCCGCAGCACGTGGTGCTCCAGGTCAATGCAGCACTGTGGGGTTGGGGGACAATGAGCTCACCTGGGCAGGTAACCCCTCTCCCAGCCACGCTACTTTGTTCCCCTCCGCCTTCCCACAGCAACCCTGCCCTTTTCTCCCTGTTTCCATTCACCTGGACCGCTATCACGGAGGGACCTAGTTCTCCATATTTTTCACAAATAAGGAACCTCTAAGCATCGAGGGTGAAAATCCACATCTCCAAGTCCTTTTTATCGGAGCCTGGCCCATGCTTTCACACCCGTGCCCCCTACCTCTTTTTCCCAGCCCTCGGGGTCAGGCCCTGGGTGTGGGTGTCAGCACGAGCATCCTCCTTACCTTGAGAGAGAGCAGAGTCTGCAGGCCAAGGCAGAGTTCAGGACTCTCCACATCTGCGGGAACCATTTGAGAATGCTGCTGTCCTCCTGTCAGCACTCGCCCCTCCTCTGCTCCCCCCACCATCCCAGGCCAGAGAACCTTGGGGATAATGAGAGCATCTTTGGGGGTACCTTGTCTGTGCTGGCAGGAGCTGAGAGGCTCTGCCTTCGCCCCGCCCAGGAGGGAGAGCTGCAAGAGCAGAGGCGCGGGGATGCTGACGGAGAGGGGACTTACCTACCACCTGGGCCGAGCATGCCACGGTTGCCTGGCCCAGCTGTAGTTCCAGCTGCTCCACCTGGGCTGGGGGCCCAGGCGCCAGGTCCCCAGCTGGGGCTTTTAGGACCCTCTTCCCTAACCTGTGGTTGGGAAGCAAGGCTTATGGCCACCACAGCCCCCCACGCCGGTAGTCCGCTAGTGTCCCTCCCCGCCATGCTTTGGGTTCTCAGCAAACCCTGGACACACGTGGAGTCTAAATCCTGCCTTCTGTGCCAGAGCCCCTGTCACCTCTTTTCAAAAAAGTAACAGCTTGGGACTTCCCTGGTGGTACAGTGGTTAAGAATCCACGTGCCAATGCAGGCGACACGGGTTCGAGCCCTGGTCTGGGAAGATCCCACATGCTGTGGAGCAACTAAGCCCGTGTGCCACAACTACTGAGCCTGCGCTCTAGAGCCCACGAGCCACAACTACTGAGCCCACGAGCTACAACTACTGAAGCCCACGTGCCTAGAGCCTGTGTTCCGCAACAAAAGAAGCCATCGCAATGAGAAGCCGGCGCACTGCAACGAAGAGTAGCCCCCACTCGCCGCAACTAGAGAAAGCCTGTGTGCAGCAACAAAGACCCAATGCAGCCAAAAATAAATAAATTAAAATAAATACATTTTTTTAAAAAGTAACAGCTTTATTGAGATATAGTTCATATACCGTGAAAGTCACCCTTTTTCTTTTTTCTTTTTTTGTCCATGCCACGTGGCCTATGGGATCTCAGTTCCTGGACCAGGGATTGAACCCAGGACACAGCAGTGAAGGCTCTGAATCCTAACCACTAGACCAGCAGGGAACTCCCAAAAGTCACCCTTTTAAAGTAGACAACAGAGGGACTTCCCTGGTGGCGCAGTGGTTAAGAATCCGCCTGCCAATGCAGGGGACACGGGTTCGAGCCCTGGACCGAGAAGATCCCATACGCCGCGGAACAACTAAGCCCGTGTGCCACAACTACTGAGCCTGCGCTCTAGAGCCCACGTGCCACAACTACTGAAGCCCGCACGCCTACAGCCCGTGCTCCGCAATAAGAGAAGCCACCGCAATGAGAAGCCCGCGCACCGCAACGAAGAGTAGCCCCCGCTTGCCGCAACTAGAGAAGGCCTGTGTGCAGCAATGAAGACCCAATGCAGCCAAAAATAAATAAATAAAAATAAAGTAGACAACAGAGTTCTGCAACCATCACTAATTTCAGAATATTTTCATCACCCCAAAAAGAAGTGCCCTCCCTACCCATTCTTTTGGGCCCCCGTCTTACCCCAGGCGGCTGAGGCATCCAGCGGAGATCTGATTGTAGTGGGTGCCCGTGTCCACGGCCACCTGAAGAACCTGGTCCTGGCACTAAGAAAAGGGGGAGGGGAGGGGACGCCGTGAGTCCCCAGGGGGTAGGGGGGAGAAAGGGTTGAGACTGGCTCTGTCACCTTTCCCAGCCCCTGATGGGTCCCTTTCAGAAAAGAGTGAAGGGCTGGGAATTCCCTGGCGGTCCAGTGGTTAGGACTCCATGCTTTCACTGCCAAGGGCACAGGTTCAATCCCTGGTCGGGGAACTGAGATCCCACAAGCCGCTGAGTGCGGCCTCCGGCCCACAAAAAGTGAGTTAAGGGTGTTTTTTATGGGACTCATACAGTTGAGCAGAAATGGGTCAGATACAGAATCAAGAAAGGAAGTAAAGCCGCAGGCGGTGAGAGCGTACTTTGGGGAGGATTCGACCCGAAGTGTAGGTCTGTGCCTGTGCTTGTTGAGAGTAGTGCCGAGGGCCTCCCGTTAGAGGAATCTGGGGTGGGAATGAGGAGGGATGGGGGGACCGCAATACCTGGTTAGGAAATTAGATGTGGGGAACAGATTCGCCACCGCAGGCAAAGGAAGACAAGGTCGCTTCCTTTTAGATAAAAACAGACGTTTGGGTTTGCACTTGGATACCGCAAAACACATTGTTTTCTCCTTTCACACTGTTTGCTGAGGTCTGCTGTGCGTGGGCATGTGGAAGGGGCAGCAGGGGAGGCTGCTCCCCAGGATGCAGGGGAGTGGAGGGTCACCAGTGCAGGGAGAGAGTGTTAAGGCTGTGGGTTGTGAGTCTAGAGCCTTAGATGTTGAGCCGGAGGAAAGGCTCTTCCATCGGGAAAGTCAGGGGAGCTTTCCCGGAGGCAGTGACAGCTGAGGCTGGAAGGATCGGAGAACGTGGACCTAGGATGACAGGCAGAGGAAGCATGGAGCAAAGATGGGCGGAAGGGAGGGAATGGCTCGGCGTGGGCTCCGGGGACGACAAGGCTGTGATCTGGAGCACCTGAGCTTTCGCGGGAGGGCTGCGTTACCCACACGTGCGCACCATTTGTGTGTGGAGCACACTCAACGTTTAAAGATGATACTTTGCTCAAGGAAAGGGAGTCGTGTACACCTCAGAAAGACGGGGTGGCGAGGGGCGGGAAGCAAAGGACATGGAGGATCCCAGTCTGTAGCCCAGCCTGCGGAGAGGGCTCCCCCATCCCTCCCTCAACACTGGGGCAGAAGGGAGAGTGGGTGAGGGGAGCAGGCCCAGGAGGGGGGTCTCACCTTGCAGTTGACCAGAAGAGCTGGCCTCTCTGTCTTGCTGGTCTTCCTCCTGGTCTCCTGGCTGTGGATCACGGCCTGCACCAAGGGATGCTCCCCCTGAGGCCGGCTCGGGTTCCCCTCCACCAGCCGCCTCTGGATCACGTTGTGCGGTTGCTGCTTCCATCACAAAATGTGCAGATGCTCAGTTCCCCCACTTTACAAATCCCAGGCCGTTCTCCCCAGCCCCGCCCCGCTCCTGAGTCTCCTGGGAGTAAGAAGGGGTGAGAGCTTCCCCAAGGATCCCAGCAGTCAGATCATTATAGCAGAGCTAGTCCCAGTATCAAATCATGCCGTTTTCCAGGACCCCAATGTATTATTGCTCAGTAATGGAGAGATGGGGAGGGGGGAAGGGTCTCTCCTCGGTTAGATAGGCGGGACATTTCAGGCACTCGCATGTTGCTGGGGGGAAATTCTGTCTCAAGTCTACAACACATATTCTTGGGGACATTTTTTCTTTTTTTCTTCCTCTGACCTCATCCTTCTGTGGGATGCAGATCCCAGAGTTGATGGTGTGATGAAAAGAAGTCAAAGTAACAAGAACAAACAAAAAAGAAAAAAAAGTCCAAATCTAAACTAGGAAGCTGGGGGAGTTCCCTGGTGGTCCAGTGGTTAAGACTTGGTGCTCTCACTGCCGGGGCCCAGGTTCCATTCCCGGTCAGTGATCTAAGATCCTGCAAAAGCTGCGAGGCATGGCCAAACAAACAAACAAACAACCTAGGAAGCTGGGCGTCATCCTCACTGTCCTTCACCTGCAGCCACCCCGCCACGTCCAGTCGCTTCTAAATTCGGCCAGCTTGGCCTCCTGTATTTACGGTCCATCTCTCTTTCTGTTACTGCTTTGTTCACACCTCAGCACAGCTCTCCTGAGTCCCTGGGACGCCTCCCTAAGTCCATAAGGACGTGTCTCTCAAATCCACCTGCTCAAAGCCTGGGAGTCTCTGAAACTCTTGCTACTCCAAGTGCCGTCCTCAGATCAGCAGCTTTACCATCACTAGAAAGCTCCTTAGAAGTGCAGAATCGTGACCTATTGAACTGGAAACTTGTTTTAACAAGATGCCCAGATGACCTGTGTGCACAGTAAAGTTTGAGAAGCACAAAGCGACATGGCAAACTAAGCCTGTCACTCCCCTGCCTAAAATCCATCAGAGCCCTCCCCTCCCCACCGTGCTTACCTGGAGGTGACAGCCCAGGTGACCCGGCCACTGCCTCATCCCCTCCCCCGCC